TGAAATTGATCCGCAAAACGAAAGCGAATCTCGTCCATGCTCTAGTAAGTTTGCGACTTCCCAACGACTCCCAACTCTGTAAATGGGATCAAAGAGCCGCCCAAGGGATGGGATCTGGCTTGGGATTGGATGGTCAGCGGCTCTCTGGAGCAAGCGATTCGCTTGGCTGGGTGGCACTTCTGGGTCGCTGGGATCACCTCCAAACTGGGTTAGGAGTTTTTCCCAAAAGAAAAAGTTTCCCTGTCAAAGTTAGATTTCAAATCATAAATACTTTTTATACTTTTACGGCAGATACATGATTTGTTAGATTGTTATTATAGTTTCCTTTCTAAAAAATTGTTATGGCTAGAAAACCTGAAGAATTTTCTCTTATTTTAGAAGCAGTAAGGGATCCCTAAGCTCCAGTTCCCCTTAAAAGAGATCTACCCTTCCGTTTTAATATAGTTTCCCTTCTTGAAACAGAGCTGTATCCCTCCCTTAAAATGTATCTACGAGATGCCTAACCAAAGTGGGGAAAATGGAATGACACTGCGTACTGCGAGTATCTTCGAAATATGCCGACTGTGGCTGAGTTTTTGCTTTGCGTATTGTTGATTAAAAATAAATTGTCAGCTTTGACAATCGCGCGGCAGTTGTATTTATAAACGAAAAGAATTTTCTTTTGCCCAGGGGGAATGCAAATTTTGTTTACAATATTTTATCTCTTTTTTTCTGTTTGCTATTTTTAGGTATCTGCTGTGGCAGACAACAGGGAGACTTGCCTCGGATTTTTGCACTCAAAAGCAAATGGGGAGAATAATTCCTGCTTAGAAGAATCTTTGGCCAGCCGATCAACAAATTTCTTTACCATCTTTTACGTCCCTGTTTCGAGATGAGAAGTGATTAAGCGTTTCCAGAAAATTATTAAAATGCAATTTGGGAAAGTCACTGCCCGTAAATTTGTCACACGCCGAAAAGGAAACTGACACAGAACAAATCACGTTTAAGCGATGGGAACTTTTCTGGTGGCCAGACTCAGATCCATGGTGACTCCGGTCGATTGGTGTTAATCCTCGCGATGATTTGGCGCTTTCAAATCTTCTGGGTTAACTTTCCAGCTGGTGAGACGACGCGGTATTCTTGATTGAGGGCACGAAATGAATTTTAAATTCAAAAAAACAAGAAAACCAGAATATTACGATTACGATTGAATGTTTTTTTAAACTAAGCCTGATTAATTATCAATACAAATATTAAGTAACTTCAATTATTACACTTTCTGCCTCCACAATACCAACCATATTTACATAAACTCCATTCCCATGTCCAACTCGCATCAATTAGACTTTTTTCAAGAGTTCGTTCTCATAGATGTCAACAAAAGGAGAACTAATGTACGATATTTGTTAGGCATTTGGCGTATTAACAAGATTCCCAACACCTCAGAGTGGCAGCCGGGAGGAAAGATCAAAAAACCCATTGGAAAAGCCAATTGAAAACTCATCAAATTGAAATTATCGCCGTCATTGGGGGACTTTGAATGTGCATATGGCATATGGCATATGGCTCGACTTATAGCGACCGTTATTTGACTTTCCCAACATATAATAATCATAACTTGAATTGAAAATCACCACGGCACAAGGGAACACAGCCCGAAGTCCAATAAGGGCAATCAAACAAGGCAGAACCAAAGTGCACACACAGCATAATAAACTAAATGGTAAACAAATATTGGACCTGATGGGGGGCTTTTCTTTTTCTTCTTTTTGATGTGGCATGGGGATCGCTAAAGAGTTCTGTGTTTACCAAAATTGTCGCGCAAGTGCAGAGCGAATTGGGTCATCGCCTCTACCTGATGCATCCACTCCGATCGGTGTCGTATTTCAATAATAATTCCCCTTTTCCTCAATTCCCCAACTCCCCACATGTCGGATACTTAATTTGTTTAACGCTTAAGTCGGCTGGCATGCGTGGGCGTTTCCTGATGTTCCAGCGATAGATAGCCAGATAGCCATCGACTTGGTTAATTGTCGTGACAAGTTGACAGTTCGCATGAAAGCCCTGGCATTGTTCGGGACTCCTTTCCCCTGCCATCCATCCAATATCCATCAGTGTATTAAATTTCGAACAAGAAGAACTCCTGAAATCAGCTCCATTTAGGTGCACTGAGAGAAAGAATGTGACGTACAAAAATATAAAAGTCTATTGGTTTCGAGTAATAAATCTTCCCTTCTGTGTTCCAAAATTTGATTTAATTATGAATTTTTATGATACTTTTGAACGCTTATTAACTTGACATGCTATAAATCCATAAACCCTTCATAATTTATTAATTATTAAATTAAATAATTCGCCAAAGTGTATGTTTAAACAACACTTACTCGCATTTATCTCGGTTGACCCAATTCCTGCTTGTTTGTCGCTTGCCTTATTAAAAACATCCGACTACCGATCGGGGCCCTGAGGTCTGGGCTGGCCTTTTCTTTTATGTTTTTTTTTTGGCCCGACTTCGATGATTCATTTGCGCTTGGTTACACATTTTGCCCGAGGTCCACATGCCATTCCAAAAGACCACGTTGCATGCGTCAGACCTTAAGTATTCACACCAAAAAAAGTCATAATAAATAAGAAGCTTATGGAGGTTGGCAGATAGCTGAGTGAGTGAAAATAGTTAGATGGCAGCTAAAAGCGATTGGGTAACCTGCTCAAGGTGCCGGAGATATGGTAATTGAAGTCATCACGATCACTTAGGTTGCAGCATGTTATTTACTGTCTGGTGGTAATGGTAATAGAAGGCATAACAAAGATTTATATATTTATGAAACACATCCTTGTATTCTCAATTCCAAAGTTTGTACAACTTAATGAATAAATTTCTACTTAGCTTCTGTTTTTAAAGAGATTACCAAAATGATGACACTATAAGGGATCATTAAACTTAAGAAAAACCCTTTAGAGCCTAAGAAAACCTCCAGCAGCGCGTCCCAAATCTATATTCCAGCTTATTAAGCCTTCACACAGGGCCTAAGATGTCCTCTTTCCAAGCGTTTTATGACCCAACAAAAAACCCAACCAAAGGTTGACAAAAGGCGCAGTGATTGATGCGCTGGAAAAGTGGCAGGAGGGGGTTGGATCCGCCCGATAATGACTTTTTAAATATGATTCCAATGCGCTAAAAGGGGCAATCATCGGAGCGATGACAAAGAACAAAGTGCTAGGGAACCATTAAAGCGAGCTATTGAAATGTAATTTGCATTTCATAAGCCGCCCGGAGCCAAGGATCACGGAAACGCCGGCAAAAACCGACTCTGTGATGACATTTGAAAGGAGTTGGCCCCCGAGGGTTCTTAGATGCGACGATTTATGGCGTTTTGATGACGGCAAGCCCATTGAAATTTTCCACCAAGATGCAGTCGATGCGATCCCCGCTATCTCCGTTAATGTGCTAATATTATGCAAAGCACTCAGAAGGATCGAAGACGGGCTGGAATCGGATGAAAAACCAGGGGTGCCAATGCACGTGCGAAGGGATTTGTGCATCTAATGTTTACACTGAGAGAAATTTAGAGGTACATAAACTACAAACTGCAAACTATAAACTGCTGATCCCCTTCAAAAAGTTATGGCCAAAAATGGAATATTCTTATATATTTTTGTATACTTTTTGTCACTGGCTATTAAATTAATATAATCTTACTAAAACAACTAAGTGTTACTAAATTTGTTATCCCTTGATTAACATTTTTCAGTGCATTTACTAGATTTTCAGCATTGGCAATGAGTAGGCAAGATTCCCCAGCAGTTTGTCACGTTTCGTTCGGCAGAAGAGTTCGGTAATCAGTTTTCATGAGGCAGCAGTAGCTCTTCCCTGATCAGTAACGGTCCTAACCGGCTTAGTGCCCCAAAAAACTACTTGCCACCATCAATAAGAATCAATCAGATGGTAGTTACTGGGTGGTACGACTACGATTACCCATAACTGGTGTGGCTTCCTTTCGTTTCGGTTCCAACTCATTAAGTTCTTCGAGCGCAACGTTTTGTCACCACCGGGAGTGGGAAACAAAGAGCTTTGTGTCTTGTATATATATAATACCGACTGGCGTAACTGGACGATAATTTACTAGTCAGCCTGCATCTGGACTAGGTCTGGGTTCCTATAATCCGTCATGCCTGGGTGCCGATTTACATTAATGCGCCAATTTCTGGGCGAACAATGGGCCAGATACCGAGACATTCGAGTAGCGCCGACTGTAATTAACATTTCGCGCATTATAATTTGCCCTTTTTTCCGCCATCCACTCATCAGTAGCCATCAGAAATCAGACATCAGACATCGGAGACCCCAGATACCGACTGAGTTGGCAATTTAATGTCCGCACATTTTCGCAACAGGAGCGGGAAGTGATCGTCGGATGGCTGGCTGGTTGGTGAAAATCGTTTTTTGCATTATTGTGCCACTCATGGTGACTAATAGGCAAATGAGACCCACTTCTGGGGATATCTCTTAGGGTAATTTTCCGCTTTATTTACAGTTTTCCACAGTTGGTTTTTGTTGCCAACAATAGCCAATTAAGGGGGGATCGGTAGGCTTTTAATTTTATTTATTTGGGAACAAAAGGTAAATGAGAAGTTGAATGTTAATTGGGAATGATTAAGCACTTAAGCTTAAATGAAATTTATAAATGTTTTAAAGTAAATGGAATTCTAATAAGTTATTTGTTAAAAATGTCCCCATATTTCTCACTCATTTTATGATGTGCTAACTTAAGCCCATCAATTGTATGATTTCTGTCATATTTTAAGTCTTTGAAATGAAATTGAAATTCCTTTCCCTAGAATCGTCAATGTAACTTTGTTGACAATCTTAAAATGGTTATCTGTATTATTTTAAGAAGGCCACCCTGCGAACTGGAAGATAATGCCAGCTGATCTGAGTGAAAGCTATACATAGCCTAATCAAAGTGCACTTCGCAAGCCGCCTCAGTTTATTTTTGAAACGTGTGAGGTAAACAAGTGCGATGAGATTCTGCAGCCTCTTATCGTTGTTAAGTCTTAATATTTATTTGGAAGTGTTTGCCAATGGAAAAGGTAAACCTTACCCGGAAAATGTATATTTTTAAACTGATTCTAAATCCTGGAAAATGATCAGGCAATCGTTACTTTTTGGAGAAGCAGCGCTTTTTGCTGGAAATTCTGCATCATGTGGATGAACCTTTGATGAACGAACAATGGAGACTGTTGGGGCAGCAGCTGGTAACCGATAAGGAACAGTATGTGGTTAGTAACAAACAAAAATATTAGAAATATTATATTCAAATTATTTCTATTTCAAATTTAAGGTTTACAACGACCACATGGTGGAGTTCTACAAGGACTTTGCTTTGGGAAAACTTTTACCCAGAAATAAATATTACAACCCACTCTACGCCGATCATTACCAGCAGACTCTGGGACTTTATCACTTTTTCTACAACACTAGGGACTGGTATACATTGTGGCAAAACATTTGCTGGGCCCGAGTTCACATCAATCCAGGAGTCTTCGTTCAAGCCTTAACCCAAGTGATCTTCAAAAGGGAAGATTATCAGGCCCTGATAATGGCCAAGATCTATGAACTATGGCCAGAAGCGTATCATGACGATGTGACCATAGGAAAGGCAAGAAAGTTTAATTTTGCCAACTGGATAAGATACGATAACATAAGTGATATTGAAGAAGTGCATCCCCAAAAACTGGAGCCTTTGAGTTTGGAAGGAGATCTGCGAAACTCGCTGGAATGGTTCCAGGCCATGGCGGATGTGAATATTTTGAGAATGAGGCATCAGAAAGTTGGCCATAGGCTTCAGCATTTGCTAGGGGATATAGGTTGGCAATCCTATTGGTATAATCTGAATATGGGAGTGGCTTTAACTGAAGACTCAGATCAGTTGCAGGAATGGTGTTACTATCAATTAAGTCAAATTCTAGCTCGTTATAAACTAGAACGTTATGGCCAACACTTGTCGTATAAGAGGTTAACTCTAGAAAAGGATAGCCAAAAACATAAGCAAAGATTCAGGGAAGAGTCCTCAAAAACTACCAGGATTATTAATAAAAAGCTAAAAGAATTGGAGGCTAGAGTTGGTGATGCCATTACCTTCAGAGGCTTTCAGTTGGCTAATGGCAGCTATATAAACCTAAAAGATAACAACAATTGGCTGATTGGACTTAAAGAACTATTCCCCTATGATTGGTCTAAACTAAATATAGAAAAATCTACAGAGCCTGAACTTTTACTAGACCTTCGCACTTCGCTGAGATCTGAAAACTTTTATTATTATGCCGAGCGATTATTGCAATCATATCGTTGGTATCGCCAGGCCTTCAAACCCACTAATCATGAAATGTTTATTCCCAGTGATTTCCGCATAGATGACATCCAAATAAGTCCTTTGATCACTTACGATGAACCAGTTGATGTGGATCTCAGTAATATCCTGCATGCCAAGCATTTTTACTTGGCTGGCCAGTTTGTGTGGCCTTTCACCTTGCAACAACGACAGCTTCGACTGCAACATAGGGATTTCACCTATAAACTTCAAATATCAAGCAACAAAACTCAATCTACAATATTTCGAACTTTTCTAACTACTGCAGAACATGGAAAAATCTTTGGAGAGCCCTTCTATCAATTAGATTCATTTCTAACAGTGATTTATCCAGGAGTTAACAGGATATCCAGGCCTTCAAAGGATTTTAGAGGCCTGACTGGTGATCACATCTCGTACACCGAACTCCATCAGTTCGTAAGGCTGGCTGAGAGAGAGGAATACGATTTCCCCTTGAATATTTCCACACCCAATTGCGGGTTCCCCAGGCGTCTGATTTTACCGCGCGGTGGCAAGGGAAATCCCCTAAAGATGCGGCTTCTTATCGTGGCCACTGTTTATGATTTCAAGGCCCATGAGGGCAATGAACTCAATTGCGACTTCACCAAGGGTGTCAGTCGATGGGATGAACTGCCTTTGGCCTATCCGTTTGAGCGGATTTTGGAAGACGATAGCCAAGCTGTGGAAATCTCTGGTGACCATGTTTACTGGAAAGATGTGGAAATCCTGCATGAGGATCAGTCGGATTAAATCAGTCGGATAAATTTATCATATAATCTGTAATCACATAACTTTTATATAATATTAAATTTAGATTTTTATCATAAATAAAATCATTTTTAGATAGAAAAATAATATAAATACTATATAGACTGTAATACAAATTACTTATTAACATGTAAAGTCAACTAATTATAATGATTTTCTTAAGGAACTCATTTCGCAGGGCAGCAAAGGAAACAATTAGTTTAGAATGTCAATTCTTTTCTGTTGATATCTCTGTGTCAGTCTACTATATAAAGAACCTTTTAAAACATCGTTGGACCCACTACCACTACCATAAATAAACTTCAATTCCACTTTACCGTTTTCCTGTCTAGCCCCCTCCTAATCCCAACAAATAAACCCTTTAACGGATAGTGACGCCAAATTTGGGTAATTACAAGGCATGGAGGAAATATTAAGAAGACGGGCCACTCCACATGGGGCCTTAAAACCCCGAAACCAACATGTACACAATATTAATCAAAACTGCACTGGAAGAAATAACTTTCAGGCTTATTTATTGGAATATCAAAAACTGAAATACGACTTTAAAAAGCATTTTGTTTCTTATTTTCAGAGCATTAAACACTATCCCTATATTATACATATTTTTCTTAATTAATATTATTATTTTTCAATTTCAAGAACCATGTCCTAATTTTTCTCACTGTACAAGTTTCAAAAGCGTAGAATCAAAACAAAAATCAAAAGCGAACATCTGTATGTGTATTCTATATGAAGAGGCAAGGGCTTCAGGATAGAGAGAGGTAGACCCAAGGGGGACTCGTGGGGTCTGGAGACGACGTTGCATGGATGCAAAGCACTTTATATCAAGTCGAAGAACGGTTCGAAAAAAAGGGGGCGGGGTCAGCGAGACCGCTAAACTTGTTATACGCAATCGAATCGAAAATATGGGCGAAATAAAGCGAGACGCGGCAGGGGTGTCGAAGGGGGCTGTAAATCTAGAACTAGTTTTTGATTTTTTTCTTTCGATTTTTTCTCTCTTTCTTTGGCCCGATGACGCGGTATAAAAGAAAATATTGGACACCTGCACGGTTTCGAATCGCAGCCAAGCAGCCACTACAACAACCACACGGCGTATGAGGGACAAGTGAAGCCCGAATAAAAATTAAAAAACGCGCACGGACAGAGGCCGAGAGGCAGCGGCGATGGCTGAGCGACTGGAGCAGATAACACGTGGAAGACGAGCGATGGATTGATTTCAAATAGCTAGTCTTCTAGATACTCTTTCTAGTCTCATTATTAGTTGAAATGCGAGAAAAATCAACATTTAGGTGGATATTTAAAATCAAATCTTCCTTCATTTTTTAAATTGATAATATTTTAAGACATCATGATATAGTTTTTAAAATATATTTAATATCATTTTTTAGTAGATTAGATCTAGTAGTAGAAACACAAATCAACTGCCAAATTCGTGCCGACTCTCAGGCCATTGCAGAGTATATTTATAAGACTAGGCAACCGTAACGCGCCTTAGATTTTCTTCAGTATCGTATCTGTCTCTCCCTCTCTCTGTCTGTCTAACTTGTCCGTCTCACTCCCACTAGTCAGCTCAGTTCTAGGCTGACGTCTTAGGTAGCTGCAAAATTTTGCCTGTCCCGAATACCCGAAAAAAAGGAAGAAGACAGAACTAATAAAAAGGGGCAGTCGAGCGTAGAGCGATAGAAAAGGGAAGGACGAAAACTAATGTCCAGGCTTTTATTTCCAAGAAATTTAAAACTTTGCGAAGGAGCGAGAACCCGAAAAAAGGGGAAAAGAAAAATGGTGTCGGGGTGTTCAGAAATTCAGAACGAGAGATAGGACCGACGAGGAGCACTTGAGAACACATGGGCCAGCAGGGAATCGGGGCAGCGATTTTAGGATCTGGAAGAAGCGCAGGTAGAAGACCTAGTAATGGATTCTAATGCTGTTCTCTTATTTTCTTCCCCTTATAATAATTTATTACGCCCAAAATTAAAATGGGATGGGAAAGAATAATAAGAAAACCGAAAATAAAAAACTTTTCTCAGTCAAATGGTTTCCGATGAAAACTTTTGCCAACTAAGGGATAAAACCATAAAATGCTTAACGACAAAAGACGTGTGTTGTCTGCCATTTAAGGTGATTCCAGTTGAAGTGCATTTTGTCAGCTTAACTTCAGTTGGTCGGGCCATAAAGTCGCTCCTTCTGTTTGCATAACTGTACAATCGCACAGTCGCACAATCGGCTGAGAACTGTCGGCACTCAGAACTTGATTGCTTTTTGAACTTCCCGCCGGGATCCCAATCTCCGAACACCCCCACATCCCTCGATAAACCTCGGACGGCAGGGTCTTTGCCATTTATGCATAATTAATAAATTGCCTTGTACGCAAACGAAGACGAAGACGCTCGTCGATTGCAACGATAAAAGTTGCTCATCCGCTTTCGATATGACTAAAGACCTTGTTGCAGATGCCGAAGTTTTCAATACTCTTCAAGAATAAACAGCCAAATGGGCTTCTTTTATTAGTTTGTGTTTCTTTTTGAAGTTTTAATATTGCAGATACAAAGGCACAAAGTACAGATACAAAATATTGCAAAAGTCCCAAACTAATTTATCAATGAATTCAGTGACTAACTTAGGCAATGACCGCAAGATAAGCCTTCATTAAGTGCTTTTACTAATCCAATTTAATGGAACAATAAAATTACCAACCATAAAAATAATAAAGCAAATAAAACAATAAGTTCTGGTCTCTTATCAGTTTAGACTTATAAATAAAATGTAGTTGATAAGTTCCGTGAAATTACGCACTATTTGCATGCTGACACTCATTATTTGTTTTGATTTATGGACGATATGTATCTGTATGTATATATCGCATTTGGTGTTATATTTCAGGGAATCTTACTTCTTTCAAACTCTATATACGTTCTAAAAATAATCGAAATTGCCATCTCGAAAAACAACCCATAAAAAGCTTTTTGGGTACTAATATAAAAATTCTTACATTTCTGGAAAAACGGTCTACTAATGTAAAAACATATAACAATATCACTTTAAAATCTTTACTACTATTAATTACTATCTAATAATCGTATACATTTTAGAAGTAAAAACAAATCAGAGAGGATTTTCTTATTGTTATACGCACTCCTAATCTTTATTCTTTAATAAAGAATGAAGGTTATCTTTTAAAATTAAGTTTCTAATCCCAATCTTTACATATTTCATTATATTGTTTACTCATTATATTGGTACTCATCTCAAAGTAACATATAAACTTTTACTAATTACAATCCATAGTTAAAACAATTTAAAACACCCTCAAAGCAATGAATATAATCCCAACCGACCCAAATCGAGTTAATCACCGTCCGGTAAACAGATCTTTTGTTTCATTCTTTGTGTGGGCGATCGCACTTTCAGTCCGCAGCGAGATCGGGATCCTGGATCGGAAGTATTCCCCATGTTTGCCGGTTGCCGTCTTTTGTTTCGCTTTCAGCCGTTGGATGAGCGATGGGAGGCGTTGGTGGCCCCTGTCCTCTGTCCACTGGCTCTTGGTTTATCGTCTCTGGGCATGTCTCAAGGGTTGTCCAATATTTCACAATGCCTGACAGCTGTTCACATTCTCCCGGCCAGTGAAAGTGGGTCAGCGTTGGCGCATTTTAATGGCCTTGTTGGGGTAGGTGATTGTGGATGTTTTTGTTTTAAAATGAATTTAACTGGGGTCTTGATGAAAAGCCGCGAAATGAAATAAGGTAAATCTTTCTAAGTATACATTCTAATGACGAGGAACGAGGTTCAACTAGTATCAGTCTTAAAATATACGAGTATATAAAACATAAGAAGATTTATGTTCCATCTTACAAAGCCCTTTCATATTGAATAATAAATTCGTATTTTATACATTTCTGAAAGTAATTAACACGAGACTTATTGTGCTTTGTGGATAGTTGCTGAAACAATGAGACAGAGTGACAAGAGATGAAGCATACAAAGCGTATTAATAAAGTGGGTAGTAAAAAGTCACACCTACTAGAGCAACTGGCAGCCCTCTACCTTTACATGCATTTTAAATTCCAATTAAATCCCATTAGTCTGAAAAGTGTTTGCAGTGGCATTCATCCGTTCAGCTGGGAAATAATTATCAGAAAAAAAGAGGCGGAGACCACTAAAAATATTTAAAAGCCAATCTGGCCATTTGGCGAAATGCCAAATATTATAGCGCATAGAAAACTCTCTCAATGAGCGATGATATAAATAATTTTCCTCATGGGTGCCATTCTCAGTGGGGGAAGTTAATAACAGCAAAGTAAACAAGATTTTTGCATATATTTTCTATGGAAACGAACAGTATCTGGTAGTAAAATGAAAGTTCACAAAATCAATAAATTTTTGAGTCTGAACATCCCAGGCCTATAAAACGTATACCAATCTCTGTAAAAGTTATAGCAGATCAGGCGTAAATCAAGGCAAATCGAAATCGTAATAAAAACCAATTGAAGATCTCTGCGTAGAAGGCAATTGATGCTGTTTTTATGTGCTGTGCTAATTGCTGTAATTGATCGAAATTATTATTAGCACTTTGGGGTGTTTCTTTAAGTAGAAAAAGGGAAGATATAAAAATTGGTATCAAATGTAAAAACTTCTGTGATAAAAGAATACCAAACATTAGGAAAGAAAACTATTTAAAAATAATATCTAAAATTTTACTAAAACTATGTAACATTAAACAAAAAGTTTTACTGTTAGTGCTTTACCTTAAAAAGACATAAAAAATACAGAAAAACAATGAAATTGGTAAATAAATAATAAAACATAATTAATTAATGCTTACTTGTGCTCAAGAAATTTGATTTTTTTCAACTTTACAAAATATTCAGTATCAAAACAACTTACCCCTCAGCTACAAGAAGTTGACATCCTTGGATTCGATTTCATTTACAGCTTGGAAGCTCGACCAACTAGCATTGCTGCAAATTAAATGCGTATTGGAA